AGCCAGCGGGCCAGCCAAGCCGTCGCAGATGAGCTGTGTTGCGGGGCTGCGAGAAAAACAACCCGGGTGAGCTAACGGCCGGCTAACGGCAGGCTAACGGCAGCTTCGATGTTGCATGTACACATTACCTGACAGAAGTTGTCGCAGTACTCCGTGGAGGACGGTATGGATATTTCTTGTTGCCTGAGCACGTCTTCAAAGGCTCTCAGTGTGGCCAGCAGGGTTTCCATTGCCACCAGAGTGTCCTCGGCCGTGTCCAGGGCCCGGTCGCTCCATTCGTGCTCTGGTTCGACATTATTCTCCGCCATCTTCGCTCTCCGCCACGGCGCGTATGCAGTGCAGTCTGACGCCGCCTTCATGTGCTGTCGGAATATTTAAATGTGTCCGTTAGAGCAGGAAAGGGGCTGGGACTGGGAAACACATAGGGATATATATATATATATATTGTTTTTCCCAGAATGTACTTTATTTTTTTTTCCCCGCAAGAAAGTAAAAGAGTACAAAGTACACACAGTCCAGGAGTTATCAGTTGTAGCATTTGGCCATGAGTATTTCCCCGACTCAAAGTTAATTTACACATATTAGGAAAGAGAGTGGTCAGTCTGGAATTTTTAACATTGGGAATTTGGCTCAAGAATATTTGTTTTAAATGTATTATAGCTATCTAAATATATTTACAGATGTGCCAAAGCACGCAATTAATGGTCATGTAGGTGTGGGAATTTATAAGAGAATTTCAAACAAGTTCATCAGTATACACAGCAACCATCAGTCTGCAGTGGGTAGAAGAGGTCAAAGCAAAGTATTCATATGTAATGTGTTAAGTATTCAGTCAGGACAACCCGCTAAAGATGATCTACTATTAGAAATATATATAATTGTATTAAACCTTCGGCAGCTCTGTATAGATGTTCACTTCTGTTGGATACATGTTGGAATAGAAAGACATGAAGGTGCAGACAAACTGGCTAAAACAATAATAGTATTGATATTTTATATATATATATTTATATATATTTAATATGTTTTAGATAGTCAGAGGCAAAATCATTAATTCATCAGGGAATAGTGACAAATTGGCAGGGAATATGGAATAATGACATCAAGGGTAGAGGCTATTATAAAATCCAAAAGTCTGACAGTTTGAATTAGAAAAAGTAAAAGTAGGAAAGAAATAATAATTATGTCAAAGTTTAGATTAGTATATACAGGATTACACGCCACATTATACAAAAAGAAACAACAAATGTGAAGCGAATAATTATAAAGAGACTGGTGGTGGATGTTGGATGGTAATGTAGAGGAAAGAGGGTCTGTTGGAGATGAGAGATTAACTAAACCAGGTTCCTGTACTGATGTTACAGTAGGTGGTGGCATGTAACAAAAACAAAGAAGAAGTAGAAGGGAGGTGAAAAAAAAAAACAGGAAGAAGGAAAGCCACAGACTTGTAAAAATGTGATGTTAAGTTTGTTGGTGTATTTGTAGATAATTAATAAATTATCATTTATTCTCATGGCAATTAATTAATTTAGCCTCCAGTATTTTCATTTCATTTTTGTCATATGCTTTTCTTTCTTTTGTCTTTTTTTGTTTCATTATGGAACAGCTTATAAAATGACATACACATATACATATATGTATTTATACACACACACACACACACATATACTTCTGTTACAGGTTTTATTTAGTTATTTCCACAGTCTGTTATTATTTCTGATCAAAATGACATAAGAAAGTTAGAAAGATTGCAGGGAGGTAAGATGTCACGTACTTGACCCTGATAGCTCCAAAAACCAAGGAGCATAAAAACAAAATTGCACACTTCATGTTGAGCACTATTAAACTGTGAAATCCTGTTCAGCATAATTAATATGTTATATGTACTTATTAAATATAAGAATCAGTGTTTGGTTCAGCAGAGAAGCATAAAAACTATATGCTTATGCAAACGTTACCTGTTGTATTTTGCGTTTATTTTTTATCAACAATGCCGTTTACTAGTCACATTACCATTATAATGGTATGGCATTATTTAGTGGTAAAGAGTGGGATGTGGCGCCTCCTGCAGGTGAGCAGCTGTAACTGTAGCGTTTGTTGACCCGGAAGTAAAAGTCATCCCTTTTGGCCACACGTGTAAAAGGTAAGCAGAGTTAAACCTGAAACATATCTGCTATGTGACTGTTTGTCGTGAGCTGGTTATTTAATTTGGGCACAAGTGTTATTCCACCAAACCCGATTCAGTGGCAGAAAATATAAAAACGCTGGCTGGATCTTCTGTTTTCTACTTACTCGACAGTCAAGTAAGAAAGTATTGAGCAGCTTTCACCGACGCGTGTCGCCACATTGTTGTATAATGATTAACCCGTAGCTGCAGTTCTCTCCTAATATTCATCTACCGACGACTTCACCAACTCTCTCTCTGTGTGTCGATCCTCGCAGTCTAACCGCTCTCACTGCACCCAGCCCCGCAGGATCCGCCATGGGGAAGTCCAAACAAGTAGGGAACCACAAGAGTGACAAGAAGAAGCACATCGCAAAGACATGGAAGACAAAGCGCAGGACCAAAGACCTGGACCAGATCCACGCAGACATGAAGCCTGAGACCGCTTCCAAGCTGCTCCATCAGGAGGTGGACTACGATGTGACAGGATGCGCACAACACTACTGCTTACACTGCGCGTACGTTCACCCCTGTTTAATGTCAGTGGGCTGCTTCCTAACTGAAAGTGAAGCTTCCCATTGGATATTTGCAAATCCAACAGTTGCATTAACTAATAATCATTTTGTGTAACTGGGTGTGTTTAGTCCTATCTCTGTTCTTGTGTGTTATACTGAGATCACCCGGTTAAATAATAATAATACAGTGTTATATTGCAGTTAGATTGTAACACTTACTGTCTTGCAGGAGATATTTCGTGGACATGAGATCATTGAAAGAGCACTTCAAAACTAAAGTGCACAAAAGACGGTAAGGCGCCATGTTCAGTTCACACATTGAATCACATAAACTTGCATTTCTTGGCTGGAAATGAAACTTCAGATGAGCTGTTTGTCCTCTATAACATGCCCCTGCTCGTTTCACTCAGCTCTTCTCCTTCTTCTTCCTCCGTCCAGGCTGAAACAGCTCCGAGAGGAGCCCTACACCCAGGCAGAGGCGGAGAGAGCAGCAGGTATGGGCTCCTACATCCCTCCAAAAAAAGTGGAAGTGAAGACGCAGCCTGTGGAAGAGGACATGGACTGAGAGCGGCCCACTTTTCAACCCATGGACTGATGAACTCAATAACAGAAGCATTATCAACACGGATGATGCTTCTAGTATCTCTTGCTGTCACAGATGTTGAGTGCGTTGTTAAAATGCTTTTTTTTTTTGTGACACGCTTCCAGCCTGACTGTTAGACGTCTGGCTATCACCGGATTCAGGGAAGCCTTACCTTGTACTGGGTAATGTAATGCAACATGTACTTACTATTGAGTATGTGTGGAACTGTGCTAATAAACGATAACGTGGAGTGGATTTAGCCAGATTGCATTCATATGGGACTACAGAGCGTGGTTAAAGGATTACATTGTATTTATTTAGTGGACGTTTTTAATCCAAAGCGTCTTAAAATAAGTACATTCAGCCATGAAGATACAACCTGAAAATGTCTCAGGACCCCACAAAGAGTCCCAAGATAAACTTTGGGACCAGATGTTTAAAGTAATGAAAAGATTTTGTTGCATGTTTTTTTTCCCCCTCATTCTTCCCCAGTGTTGAGAAATACTTGATACTGATGATTAGACTGAATTGTCATTTCCTTTTCACTTCATTATTTATTTAAACTGAGGAAACAACGTCAGCGACGGTGATTGGCAGATTTGTAAACGGGACTAATATTTAACATCTGGCCTCTGAAAAAAATCTTTCAACTGCACCTAACTCCTGTCCATAAACTATGGTCATAACCTGAAAGGAGATTTGGCTTGGGTTTAAGGAGTTAAATAATTAATTAATTAAAGAGTTAGAGAGACTGTGCTTTAGTTGGAGGTCTTGGGTTCATGTCCCGGTGTAGGCAACATCAAATTTATGGAGACCGAGTGATTTCTCTGGCACAATAATGGCCTGACACACATACCAGACTGTGTCCCAGTCTGAATCAGCCCCTTTGTTTCTGTCCATATTCGCTCTATATGCAGAATAAAAAAACCTTTTTAAAACTGTATTTATAACATGAAGTTATTGTGACTGTAAGATTACAACACAGGCATTTTAAAATTCCAAAGAGTTGTCCAAAGCCTTCACTACTACTGGCAGACATGAAGTTACAAAAAAACAATGTAATGACACACGTCCCTGGCAGAGAAGCATATAATTGAAGCTTGTTCGTGACATTCCTGGGATGAACAAGGCAACTCTGGCCCTTTAAATGTGGCTGCTAACGCCAAGGTAGAGGGAATGTAAACACACATCCGCTCACCGCTTTCAAAATAAAGCTCCCAACGGCGAACTAGCTTGTAAAAAGCGTCCCCTGAGTAAAAGGGAACTATCTTGTGGGTTGTGTCTTCAGAGGTATTTTCGCGACCCCCACACATGTCTATTGTAACTCTAGGAAGATAAAGAGTGTGCTCGGTCCGAAACCAACCAGTTTCTATTATTGTTATTATTATTTTTATAAAGCTGAGCGGAGCGGTACAGTGTGTGGGAAAATGGGAATTTAACCGTTGGTTTCACACACGGACAAACAACCGTATCACTCCGCGAAGAAAGTAGACGCCTGTGACGGCATAAAAATAACATTTAAAGATGCAACCAACTCGTGAATAATAATAAGAAATAACGTTTCGACCTTATCCCCTTGAGATTTCTGCAGATAAAACTATCAGACCGAATCAGGGAGTAACGTTAGTTCACAAATGCAGCTAGCTGACGAGAGACGTCGACATACGAGTGCTTTTATTTTGAGTCCACAAACGCCTTACATCCGGGTTACTCCTGGCTGTCGCTCGGTCGCCTGACGCATCTGAACCGCATCCATACGGCTCCAGATCAGATGTGGGAAATAAGAAATGTGTGCGGCTAGCTAACGTCTCACAGCTGCTGCCAGCGAGTGCAACGGCCGGAAAAGACGCGCGGTCCCCGGCTTACGGGACAACCGAACTGTCGGAGGATTCCCCACACTTTAAGGAAGAAAGTTTACACTGCTCGCAGCCCCCTTTTTTGGACGTTACCCGACGACAATGTCCTCGCCTCAATAGCTGTCGTGGAGGGTCGAGGATGGCTGCAGACGTGGATAAAACAACCCCCGAGGATGGGAGCAAGATTTCGCCGCAGAACGCGCATCGGGGTCCCGGCTCTGGATCCTGGATCTCCAAGGGGCTGTGGACTCTGCTTCTAGTCGGTGCTGTCCCTCTTCTCGCCTTTGGGATCAAGTATTACCAAGATGCCCAGTTCCTCAAACGTCATGTGAGACCCACATCTGTAATAATGTTATATATGTCTCGTAATTTAGCAGTGATCTTAACTTATTATTTTTTTTTTTATCTTAAAAGCAACTTAAGGGAATAAACATGAATTGGGCTCATATCATACTAAAATGCCATTTTACTCTAAGATGCATGTGTGTAGAATAAAGTTTGCATTGACCTTCTGGTAGCTGTTATGACCTATAATTACTGCAGGGATATTTTCTTGTTATATTTCAATGCTGCTCTCCCACAAAGGTGTGTTCAGCATATGCCAGTAGCCACAAAACACCACATCTGCAGTTTTTTTCCACCCCATGGTGTTTTATTAGAGGGTGGATCTGTGCCACAGCTGGTAAAACTCCCCCCTCTTGTTTTAGTCCATGCTTGTTTGGCTACAGAGGGTCTCCAAGTTGTTCTTGGTGCCTCCCTCCCCCTCTCCCTCCATTGTACAGGCGCTACTAGGCACGCATCTGTCTGACTGAAACACATGCTAGGAATCTGTGGCCTCTGGGTAGATTTTTATCCAGACAGGACTGCTGAAGTTGAATGAATGCTCTGACACAAAGGGGCAAACCACTAAAGCAGCTTGAATCGACATCAGATCGTGCATCTACAACAGTTTTTAGCACTCCAGTTTGATTATTTTGTGTTTGATGTGATGAGTTGCCTTCGCTGTCCTAGTTTTGATGCTGCATTGGAAATCCTTGAAGCGTGTGAGAATGACACTAACGCTGTTTGTTGCCCCTCCAATAGGAAGAGAGCGTTCGAACTCTGGGTGCCGAGGGGCTTTTTCTCTTCTCCTCCTTGGACACCGACCATGACCTTTATCTCAGTCCGGAGGAGTTTAAACCCATCGCTGAGAAACTCACAGGTACATCACCCCAGGTTTTTCTTGCTGAGTGTCCCATTCAATCAATACCGCCTCCTCTTTCACTAACAAAACTTCAGTCTGAGTCTCAGATATAACCTCACACTGACTGTGATCCCTGCGGCTTCCACACAGGAATTACACCCCCGGTGGATTTTGAGGAGGAAGTGACCCATGACCCCAATGGAGAGACTTTAACCTTGGAGGCTAAAATGCAGCCTCTGCTGCTTGACTCCATGACAAAAAGCAAGGATGGTTTCCTCGGGGTAAGACAAGACCAATCTATAGTGGGCTTATTGTTCTTTTTCTGTCAAGTACTGTTTAAGCTCTGTAGAGCACTGCTTTAAAGATCCTGCATCAAGGGTTTTTAATATAGTCTCACATTCAGTGTGATTTCTGAGAGGTTGCACTAACCTTTTTTAAAATAACCATCACAGCAACATACTTAAAATTATTGGAATTAATGCAATTAGTATTAAGTCAGTTCTCTTTCAATATGTGTAAGGCGAACCCTAACCAAGAACTGAATCAACAATGAACTACCAGAGAATTAACTTGTAATCATCTTTGACTGCTTAAATTGTAAAACAAATTTTAAGAATTTCCTATTATTTTCTTTTGAAGGAGCCCAACTTCTAGTTTTTCAAGACCTGTCTAATAATAAGTGGATTTGATCCGGCTCTTGCAGGTGTCTCACAGCTCTCTGAGTGGGCTGCGCTCATGGAAGAGCCCAGCAGTGCCTTCTTCTTCCTTCTCCGCCAGCCAGTTCAGGGCGTTCTTGCCCCCGAAGAACAAGGTGGAGGTGGGAGACACGTGGTGGGTGATACCCAGCGAGCTCAACATCTTCACCGGGTACCTGCCCAACAACCGTTACCACCCTCCCTCACCGAAGGGCAAAGAGGTATCTTAAAGTCTCTTTTAGTGTCAGACTGGGTTGAGACTTGCGATGATCGTACTGTATATTAATAGCTGTTCTTCTCCCGCTGCAGGTTCTCATCCACTCCTTGTTGAGTATGTTCCACCCTCGGCCCTTCATCAAATCCCGTTTTGCTCCTCAGGGCACAGTCGCCTGCATCCGTGCCAGCAACGACTTTTATTATGACATCGTCTTCAGGTGAGGAACAGTTCAGGAGGAGACATAAATAACCGTAGTGGTGCTTTTTCTTCGGTTAGCTCATTAACTACGTAATTCTGTATACTTTTACATTAGTGCTGACTAATATCCAGAACGTACTCTGAATTTGAATGGTAATGTCCTCGCTGGCAGGCAGCCATTTGTTTCAGTTTACAATCAGCATGCAGAGAGAGACTGATCCACCCCAGTGAATCCACTTTACTGTTTTTATTACATTATCACGTTCTTGGCATTTCATATTTTTTCCTTTCACACATTTCACATGATTTAGAGGCTGTCACACAGTAAATTGATGTGTGGTATAGTTATGCCTTCCTACTGCACGTGGGGAGAATGATTGATTGCAGACTTACAGTCACTCCCTATTTATGATGGCTTCTCATTGTCAGAAACCATTTTCCTGATGAAGGCTTAGCATGAAAACATTGCAAAGAAATGTATCATCGCTAGTTAGATAGATAGATAGAATAGGAGTAGATAATAGATAGAATAGATAGATAGATAGATAGATAGATGAATATTGCTTTAATTTGTCCCACAATGGGGAAATTCCAATGTAACAGCAGGCACAGGTGGATAAGAGAAAAAACAGTATAATAACAGTAAGAGTAGGGAAATAATAAAAAACATATGTTACCAAAGAGAAAAAACAGTGAGAATCACCAACAAACAAGATAACACCAAAAATAGTTAGCAGCAGTTGCACATGGGGCAAATTAGATGCACAGTTTTATTGGCACATTTATTTATTATTATTGATGGCCGAAATGGTTATTGTTTTAAAACAGCTCTGACAGCAGCAGGAAGGACCTACGATATCTCTCCTTCACATATTTGGGATGAAGGAGTCTGTCTGAGGGTGTGCGGTGTTTTATTTGCAACTTCAACCATCTTGTTCTGATATCTTGCAGTACTTTCTAGCAGCAGTTTTCATACAGTCTTCACTTGACTTCACAAGTGCATTTCCATGTGACACTAATGTAACTTAACTTAAAATATAAAGCTGTTTATTTATAAAACTGTAATGAATCTCAAAGTTTTAAGTCTCCCCTAGTGAAATAAAGCCTCTGGCTGTCTGGAAGGTTTGGAATCAATCAGTGGTCAGCAGTAATGTTAGGTATACACTATTCGTGTTAAAGAGGCTAGAAACGCACTTCAAGAAAAGGCTACAACCAGCCTTTCGTGTCACATAATGACAGTAGGATACATTTTTGGACACATCTTGCAGTACAAACTACTCATTCTGTTCACCTCTGCAGGATTCATGCAGAATTCCAGCTCAACGATGTTCCAGACTTTCCCTTCTGGTTCACCCCAGGGCAGTTCGCCGGCAACATTATCCTGTCTAAAGATGCATCTCATGTCCGCCACTTTCACCTCTACGTCCCCAATGACCGGTAAATCCGTTATACACACTCCCCACTCAGTGTGATGTTGCTGCTGCAGTTCTAGTGTGAAACATCCTGTTATGTCTCAGGTCTCTGAATGTGGACATGGAGTGGCTGTACGGCGCCAGTGAGAGCAGCAACATGGAGGTGGACATCGGATACCTGCCACAGGTAAAGCTGCAGTGAGAGTATCTCTTTTACTTTAGTTCTTGGATATTCCAGCATATTTATTTCTAAGTAGTTAAAGCAGTTTAAGCCAAATAAAACTTATTTAGTACAATTAGTCTCTTGTTTCAGGATTTTAGTCTTTTTAAATGTTTCCTTTTACTGTTCTTATCACAGTGTGTGTTAATGTATTCATTTATTTTCTTTTTTTGTTTTGTGCCACATTGAGCCATTTTCACTCTAAGCTTTTTTCAATGTTCAAAGCCTAAAACAGATCTAATTTCCTCAGAAGTATGTTAAAGACCACAAAAGCGTTTCCTCAGGAAAAAAAAAGGTCACAGCTTAAAATATATCATGTTTCAATTTTTTTTTATTAATGTGCCTACAGTTAGAGCTGCAGTCCACCGGCCCGTCCACTCCCTCAATCATCATGGACGGGGAGGGCAACATCATCGACAGCCGAGACGGCAGCAGCGAGCCGATCCAGTTCATCTTTGAGGACATCCACTGGACCTCAGAGCTCAGCCGTCAAGAAGCCGCTCGACGCCTGGATGTCACCTTCTACCCCTTCAAGAGGGTAAACATCCACGAAGCGTTTATTCAACACACTGTTGGCTTTTGCACAACTTTTCATTGTTCTCATTGTGCTCCTTCCCAGGTGTCCTACCTGCCTTTTTCAGAGGCCTTTGAGCGCGCTGAAGCAGAAAATAAACTGGTGCATTCCATTCTGCTTTGGGGAGCATTAGACGACCAGTCCTGCTGAGGTGAGATCATTAACATGTAGTTGGTTTCACAGCATTGCACACTGTTATTGGAATCTGAGAAAAGATAAGAGAGGCTGCAAAAGCTCAGTTTCTCAGGCAGGGTCTTCTACGGGCTGGAAGCCTGTTGGTAGTTTAGTCAATAGAAACATCTCACTGTTACGTAAAAGCACCTTAAATCACTTCTATATACATTTATTACGAGGGAAGATATGCTAAATTCTGGAATATTTAGTTTTTGTGTACTGCCCTTTCCTTCATCAGTAAATTACAGTTTCAGGCCGCTGCTTTTATATGAGAGCATACATACTTAAAAGCAAGACGTTCTAACTTTTAAAAGAAAAAGTAATGTAATATTAGCTAATGTTAGCAAACTTTAGGTAAATATTTTGCATATATAAAAAATCACCTCATGGGGAAATAAGCTATGAAGTTCAATATTGCTGTAAAGCGCTTCTTACATTAGCTTAGCATTTTGGCTAAACTGCGGTTTATCATTTAGCATTATTCCATTACTGTCACTGCATGTCTCAATTCAAAAGCAAAGCCATTCAGTCCTTGAAATAATTGTATTTTTCAACATCCCTGTCTCCCCTCCACAGGTTCGGGGCGAACTCTCCGGGAGACAGTCCTGGAAAGTTCGCCCGTCCTGGCCTTGCTCAACCAGAGCTTCATAAGCAGCTGGTCTCTGGTCAGAGAGCTGGAGAACATGCAGGTGAGCCACCAGGACAGTGAGACACCCCCAAGCCAGCCACTAATCAGATGACAAAAAAAAAAGCTTTGTACTCTATTCATTTTCCTATCTTCTCTGAAACAGGCTGATGAGCAGAACAATGCGTTGAGCGAAAAGGCCCGACTACACCTGGAGAAGTACAACTTCCCTGTGGAGATGATGGTTGCACTCCCTAATGGAACTATTGTAAATATTTTATTCTTTTATAAGCCTAGAATTTATGTAACATCCACAAGCAAATCATGTGTAGAAACAGTCCCGTTGATACGAGTATTAACTCAATTAATATTAATTAAACAAGCACAAGGAAACAGTTGGGTTAAATTCCCCTTTAACGTTTTGCCTTGGCTTACATACTGTTCATGTAGTTGTTGTAGTCCCACTCTCATAACATGTGATATTTATTGATGTTCCTTTTATTTCACTTTTATGGGAAACAAGTCTTTCACTCACTTCCTGTGTTTGGCTTTAGGTCCACCACATCAATGCCAACTTCTTCCTGGACCAGACAGCTATGAAGCCAGAGGAGGAAGAAGCGGCTTTCAGCTTCTCTGGGGGATTTGAGGACCCCTCCACATCCACTTATATCAGCTTCTTGAAGGAGGGGTTGGAGAAAGCCAAGGAGTACCAGGCACAGTAATTTGTTTGTGGATGAAATGATAATCATTCCTCTGGATAATGAAACAAGATAAGGAAACCCCTCCCAACAATTATGTGGAGAAGCTTTCTCATCAGTGTTGGCAGCTGAAAAATGTTTTTTGCCTTCTTTGTTACTATTTATTTGGGGCGTCTCTCTTGGTCAGAAAGTTTTTATATACAGCGTTTGTATTGTGACTTAACAATCCGTATAAATGAACTACAGGGAAATACTGCTTCTCAAACCTAATGTTACCGTCAGTACAGTATATTTTACTGAGATACAAATGCTTTGCACACTGACCAGTAACAGATAAACACATTTAATCCGCTCTATCTCTCTTGCTTGTAGCTGCAGGTTAATGCTGATATCAAACGTAGACAGAGGGCAATCCTAAGACAAATCATAAGTTCACCATAACGAACCGAAACATGCTACATTTCGTTTTTTATATTCTACTTTTGCATGTGCAATATTTAATGACCGAGTGAGTTTTCCTGCCGCTGAGCGTACCCCCTGAGACGGAGCTGGTGCAGTTGTTGCCTTTTAGTTGTGTTTCAGCAGTTTGTGACGGCTTCGCCTCAAAGCTCTCTCTGGGCTGGGCGACGCCTGATGTTATTGCTGAAGCTGCTAGAGGGAACACCCTTCTCTGACTCAGGGGACCAAAAGCAGCAGGAAACACTAAACTAAACTGCGGCACATAAAAGGATTATTTCAGTTGTTTTCTTGTATTTCTGGTTTGAAAACCAAATTGTAATATTTTGCAGATTTTTTTTTTTTAAAGACGATGTGACCACACCAAAGAACATTGTTTTTCATATTTACAGGAGAAATAAATCCAATAGGTTGCTTGCCACTTGGTTCATATTTATATATTATGTATTGTTATGTAACCAAATGGTCATATGTTTAAAAAAAAAATTTGATTGTTGAACTGAGTGGCACATGATACCGTGTACTGTTGTTATCCTCTTTTAGGCTCAAGTCAAAATAATGTCTTTGCTTAGACAAGAGGAATGTTTTAAGAAAAAAAAAAGATGACAATCTGGACCTTCCATTTTTTTTACATGTCTCATCTTCGCCTTTTCCAGTCATTCAAAAAAGAAAAGTTTCATCTTCAGGTCCAGGTCTGTTGTTTTTTGAAACGGAAGAATACAGGGATCAAGGACACAAATTTTAAATAGTAACTGTGAAATTTGTTAAATGAGAACATTAAGTTGGAACGTGACTTTGTAAACGTTTCATGGTCAAACAAGGTCCTCCTCATGAGAAACATCGGACTGTTTGAAGTCTTGAGGGGGAAAACACTGCAGTTCTGTAACCTACGAGTGCCATGTTTTTCACAAAGTTAAAAAATAAAACTTTTTTTTTTACAAATTGACCTGTTTCTTTTTTGCAACATCCAGCACACACTGTACAGTTTAACAATCAATCACATGAAAGTTTTTTTTAAATGTTCACTTTGTGCTGATTTTTATTAACTAATCTACAATACTGTACAACGTAAGTAGATCAGGTTTTCGGACTGAGAGCATGTTACGGATACAGTTGACTGACAAAAACTGCATTAATTCAAAGTACTTCTTGAGCTTATACTTTTTATGATCAGAAACCACAGTGGTGTATGAGTCAGCACTTGAAATGAAAAGAGTTCAGAATAGTCATGAATGAGACTCTAAGAGTCATTGCCAGTACAGATGTTCTTCAATTGAGAAGCTTTTGGAGCCTCAAGTGTTCTTACATGGTTATTTTCAGCATCAATTTCTGCTGTCTATGTCACTAGTTGATTACAAATGATTGGTATCAGAGAAAGGGAGCTTGTATTTGAGGGATTGGGAGCTGTGCATGTGCAGTTTTCAATAGAGAAATCTATTTATAAGAAGACAATGTGTTTCAAACTTCCAGCGTTAAATAAACATATAAAAGTGGGGGCATGCATTACCTATGAAGACAGGTGTATAATCATGTCCACATGATAAACGATGAGATATCATGAAGTTACTGATTCACATCAAAAGCAAAGTGCAGTCTCTGAGACTTGTAACCTACTCCATTCAAAAAATGAGGACTCAAAGAATCCAGTTTCATAACAGTTCAGCTCCACTCGGTTAAGCAGAACTCTGGCCTGGTTGCCAAACCCACAGGAATGAGTCAACCATGAAGCAGTTCACCATTAAAAGACCACTCTGGGACACCGAGCTGCTCAAGATCAGCCTTGTCCGGTTCATTTCAGTTCACTAAAATCCACAGCACTTAATCACACAGACAAATCCAGAAGTTTGTGGTTGATATTGACATGAAATGAATGAGCGGCTGTATTTGTTTTTGCTCTGTGATAAATGCCGTCTCGATAAAGCTGATCAGCAGGGACGAGGCCAGTCAAAGAGAAACACCGCGGTCTCTCAGTTTCTTCAGCTGAACGTCCACACCTCCAGCTCCATGACCCGGAAGTCGTCGGTTTCGGAGAGGCAACAGTTATTGAAGGTGTAGCAGGGGCTGCTATGACCCAGGTACAGATTCTCATCCACCCACAGACCAAAGTGACCACTGCAGAAAAAAGAGACAAATTAGAAATATCTTTTTTGTCTGTCTTTTTATATTCCAGACAGAACAGTCGATAAAACTGAATGCAAGAGAGGAAGTGGTAAAAAAAAAAAAATAGCATTACCTGCCTCCACCAATGGCAAAGGAGTCCAAGTCTCCTTTGATAAAAAAGGAGTTCTCTCCTGTCCATCTAAAGGACTGCAGAGAAAAATAGCACAATTCTCAAACAGAGGATCTACTCTCGTTTTAGTACCATCAATTCAGCTATCAATACCCTTGCCCCAAGTGAATTCATTAGTAATTTATTAATGACTTTCTGACCTTCCACAAAATGCAAAATCTGTGATGTTTAGCAGATTTTTTCCACAAATTGGCTGAACTAACAGAACTACAGTATCACTCTGGGGAGTGTTTTTCGGTGACTTACCTTGACGCGAGGATGCAACATGAAGAGGAAAGTTTCTCCTGTGCCGTAGAACGTCTCACTGAGCTTTAGAGGGTGAGACAGGAAGGCCCCGAATATCTGATGAAGGAAAGTCACAAGAGAGACAGCAACAATAACATAACTATTCCAAAGACACTGCAACATCTATAACTGATATTAGAGATAGCATATATTACGTGTTTTACCTCATCAAGCGCATCCTTAATGACAAGAAGCACAGGGGAGTCTGTGGCACTGAGTTTTCTGTAGAGGGACTTGAGGCTGGCGCCGTGACGGGATGTACTGTAAGCCAGCTGCCAGGTGTGGCCAACTGTCCTGGGGGGAAGCTCCTTACACAGCTGAGAGAAGATGAAAGTAGAGGAGACATTTTTTAATTAACATCGGTAACGAAGGAAGGAACATACATATGAACAGAGATTTTATGGGGATTATCTATAAATCAAAAACAGGCTGCACCACACAAACTAGTTCTGACATTGAGATTTGTCGCTAAACATTTACACATCCTAACTGCCAGGTGTAGCTTACTGTTTAATAGTTGACTGAACTGACAAAGCTAGCTTGTAAATATATACGCTGTATAGAGTAAAAGAGAGTATAACAGGTGATATAGATTTATTTAGCCCAACCTTACATATCATAAAATTCCCTTCTCATACAACAAAAAGGGAAATAAGGAAGAAACCTTATATGGCTTGATTTGATTAAAATGCTGTTTAATAGTGACGTAACCAGTAGCAGGCTTCACTTTCAATCTGCAACTAAATTAGAGCCGGATGATATGGATTTTTAAGACTGATACTGATTTCAGAGGGTAAAAATATATATTGAATATTTAAATCAAAATAGACCTTTTCTTTCTGAATTGTGCACAGATTTTGCACTGATATGACTATGCAAAGGTGGGAAGGCTGCTTTCATACAAACATGACATTATTAAAGAATATTTAAGTTATATTTAGTCATAACTGCATTCACAAACAATTAGCAGAAGGTTAATATATTGCTCTCCCTCCCAAAACTGTTGCTTTTGATTGGGCAGCACTACAGACGTATCCTAGCAACCAATTTATTTTCATTTGTCCAACAGAAATCACAATTAACCCTTTTTGCAGTAAAAAATATGTGATTTTTCAATTTATTATTCATAGTTTTTTTTTATTGCTACAAGTAAGAAAAAAGGGTACATGGAGGAAAATCAGTTCCTAATTTGAATGGTGCAACATGATCTAGAAAATCACTATTTAGAAACTAGCTAGTGGTTACTAGGAACTTTAATAGGAATGACTTACAGTTCTATCAGCACAGATGGGAGATGTGTGTGTAGTTACATACACTACATGTGTGTCACTTACCTCTCTGACATGTGAAGCTTCTAAAATGTGGCTGCTCTCCACAATATTATTGAGTCCGTCAGGCTCCCTGTCGATGACCAGGGTCGGCTTGTCCACGCTCTCTTCCATCAACACCATCTGCAAAAAAAACATTGATGCATTCAAAACAAAATAAAACACACAAAGCCAGTTTGTTATAGAACATCGTGAGGCACCAAAACTCATTTTAATCTTCATTAAGAATCAAATGTTTCACTCTGTTCTTGTCGTCTACTCTCCTGTCAGAATAAAATGAACTCACTCACCTCCCAGTCGTCCCCTGAGCTGCGGTGCCTCTGGAACACTTCTTCGCCCTCGTCATCTTCATCCTCCTCCTCTTCCTCCTCCTCCTCCTCACCTTTGTCCTCAATGAGTACAAACTCCTCTTCGTCACGGTCCACCTCCCTCTCTTCCTCCCCTCCCTCAAGTATACACAGGTCTGGCCGACAGTGTGTAAGGTAGGCATACAGCTCGTCGGAGCTGCGGGTGAAAAGAAAAAGCAGTGGCTCAGATGTGTTTCAATCACAAACAAACCCAACAGCTGCGTCTACATGGCGAGAATAGACTTTACCAGGAGACCTCTGAATGGGACTAATGTGCTTTTATGAATAGATCCTCAAATCAGCTGTTCAACTGTTTTTGATGAAGCTTTTGTAAAGGTTAAGAATTGCAGAAAAGCGCGCAGTTATTCCCCCATTAGTGAAAAATTCTGTCTATGTTTCTTCAACCTCTCCAACCTCTTTCAAAATGGTCACCATTTTAGAGAGATAATATTTGCATAGCTGAAGTTGATGATTTAAGTAAAAGCAGCAATACCAAACTATAAAAACACTTAATTAGAAGAAAGGTTTTACTTCAGTAAAGTATACAAATATTGGAAACTAAGGTGTATTTAAAGTATTAAAAGTAAAAATACTCATTATGCCGGATGAACCCAGTTGGCCTCATGACCCAGCAGTAATTTAATGTTGGTGCTCATTTTAACAGCTTTATGCATTACGTTTTTTATTTATATTTAAATAATACCTCAAATTTATACCTAAAGCCCAGAACAAGGAACTTTAATTTTGTTGTGACGGCCCCTGTGGACAAAAGCAGTAATTTTTCGACCAAATCCGAGCCAGTGGCAGGCATTGAGAATATCATACTCGCCCTTTCACAGTAACTAACTGTTGACAGATTTATTTTTAAAACAGAAACCTTTGGACTTTTACTCTAGTAAAGATAATGTTAATGTTTTTATAATGTTCACTGAGTGACGAGAGTAAGTAAATATTCAACTGAAGTGACCAGTTTGAGTACTCAGGTAGATGGAATATGTTCATTTTAGGCTCAAGTGGAGACCCAAACCTTCCCTTGTCAGCACTGGATGTGTAGAAACGTGTTATAAATTAGGAAATTCAGCCAATAAACACTAGACCTTAACACTGAACACTGTAAACCATTGACAAAAACAAACAAACAAAAAGAGTGCTGAAACTTGTCTGGTCCAACATTGGCAAAGAACATGGCCAGCTATGGTCATACAGTTGGTTGAGGTATGGCTTTGTCGTGGACCATATGTGGCCAGATCTGGACTGTAAGTAGTTGAGATCATTGAGCACATACATTAAACTTCCAGTTTAAATTAGCCTTCTTCCTGCTTTTGGCTCAGCAAGCCGCAACAAAACTGTAGTTTAACAAAAAGTATGAATACACATTGAATTTAAATCAGAAATAAAAATGATAATTATGATTCATTCATTTATTATTTATAATCCTAATGATTTATTAATAATTAATTAATTTATACTCAAAAAGCCAAGAACCTACCACCTTTTGACTCTGGTCAGTGCACCTCTTGACATTTTTTTAAATCTGTCTCTTGCGTTCCATATCTTTAAACCTCCGACCTCCGCCATTAGTTACTGTACCTCTCTTGTGAAAGGGCAAGCCAGGAATCCCTTCTGGGTAAAGTTTTTGCTGAGCCCAGCTGAAGGCCTCCTACACCCTTTTTCTTTCCTGCAGATGGCTGAACCCGCAGCCGCACAAACATCAGACTCCCAGGACTGCCTGTTGATGACCTCCGAGTTAATGAAAATGAAAACATGAAAATAAACCATCTCTCACTTATAATTATAATTCACATTGGTACCTGCACTGTCACTCTTCACAGAGGTCTTCTGTCTTTCATCAGAGTGCAGCAGCTTACTCGCCACCTCTTGACCTCCACAGCAGAAGGTAGCAGCACTGCTCAGGACAGCCACTCCCAGAACGCCTACAGACGCCTCTGACAGCACCTCCAGCGGGCTGCTGTCAAGCTCCCCCTCAGCCACCGCCATGTCTCTGCTCTCTGCCTCCTCTTCCTCCCCAGAAACCTCTTTGGTTAGGCTCAGAGCCAGACTGGATGAGTCTGATGGAGCCACAGGCTCCACAGCTGGCACTGATTCACCCTTTCGGTTTGGGAAGCCGCCTGCTCGCCTTTGAGCGCTTTTCAACTTCTGGAAGATTTTCTTTCCTTTTTTCCTAATAAGAAAAAAAAAACACTTGCATTGACTTTTCAAGTGATCTGTAGTCCGTGTGTGACTTTGCATTGTTTAGGTGCTTTGAATCTTGAATCATTGCTGACCTCTGCTGGGATGTGTTGAAGTGAACATGGGAGATGTCAGAGAAGAAGGAGACAGATGCCAGACTGTCAACAGAGCATGACAGGAGGTATTCCTCACAGCCATGTTCCTTCACCAGAGGATGTGTCTTACACGGGTCAAAGAAGATCTTATTAGAAGTCACCAACAGGATACCTGAAACCACACCCTAACACAGGGAGAGAGGAGATGTTGATGTCAGCCTGCAAATGTCTACGGGTGCAGAGAAGATGAGGCGTTGAGCGCAGTTCACACCCACCTTACGGTCTGTGATGTAGCGACAGAACAGTTTGAGGTACTGCATGGCCTCTGGTCCCTCCCCCTGACAGCACTCTGGTGGCAGAGCCAATAGGCAAAGCTGTCCATCAGGCATCGGCACCGCCTCCACATCCTATCAGCGACACATATTGTATAAACAACAACATGATAAAATAAGAGCGGAATGATTAGTCTACAGCAGTTTGGCAAATTAATTAACCATTTAAGTTCATTTTAAAAGCGAAAATTCCAAAAATGTACTGGTTTTAGCTTGTATATGTAAATATTTGCTGATTTTCTTAGTTTCTTATTATTATTTCTGATTTTAATGTGGAAAATGTACTTGTAGAAAAACACATTAGACACATTATTATTCCAAGCATATTATTTGTATATATGTCTTAATACATGTCCGGAGGGGATCTTTAAATTAAACACAGTGAGAAGTTTGGAGGGGAACTTATCTGGGACAAAAAGACACTGCTTCTTTTTTAGCTTAGGTTTCACATGTCATTCAAAATCTTATTATGAAAGTAACCAGTAATTACAGCTGTCAAACAAATGTAGGGAAGTAAAAAAGTAACAATATTTCCCTCTGGAATATAGTGGAGTTGAATTATATTGTAGCATAATGGAAATACACGTATTAAGTATAGTAAAAGTACCTCAAAACTGTACTCTAATACAGTTCCTACCGCTGCTTATCACTTTTATAACACGTTGTTCAAATAATGCAAAGTTAGTGCTTTGTAAATTTCAGAACGTGCAGTAAGGGCAGCTATTTTTTCTACTCACCAGTAGTTTGTCATATTCTGCCTCTGGTGAAGGGGACTGTGGTTGAGCAGCAAGTATATCTACAGAGTCTGAATCTGCCTCCACCTCTCGCTTCAGTTTGGGATCAGAGTCCGAGTCCAGTTCTGGTTGAGACGATCCTTGACTGGTGTTTTTCCCCTTTGGGACGATCAGCTGCTGCAGAATGGAAGCCATGATAAGAATAGCTCTGACATTGAAACAGATACAACCTAGTGACAGGAGTGACTACTTCCTCTTTCCACAGCCCTGCATGTTATCGGTTCTCTGTGTTTGTTGTCACATCTAAGCTCCATGTGACACATGAGGGTTGTGTATAAGGGGCTGAAATTGATATTTTTACAGCTACAATATATTGCATCAAAATTACAGTGAGTAGAGAAGAGTGCCTATTATCAGTCTGAGATTGCTCACAAGAGTTGAGGTATTGATTGCCTGAATGGAGCAACACACTTCCTGCCTAGGGCTAAACACTAAACACGGAAGTCAAGAGACCGACAGGGGAAAAGGCCTTGTTTTGCATTTCAAATCCAGTCAACGACAGCTGGCAAAAAAAGAAAAAAAAGGGGGTAATTTCCATTATTTTACAGAAGTAATACACACACCACATGTTGTATGCGAACTAATGTGCTAGTTACAGTTGACTCTTACCTCTCTGGGGATGAGGGTAGCAGCAGACGAGGAGGGTAAATTTGCAGAGGAATGTGAGGGACGGTGGCCCATTTTACCTTCTTCTGCTGAGGATGTACCGATACTGTTGAACTGAGATGAGACGCTGAACACCGTGTCCCCGGGGAGACCCTAAAACACAAGAAAATCTTCAGTGGATTGAGTTTGTTTTGCATCCATCTTCTAAACCTGCGATTTGTCTGGCACTCTACCAGCACCCTATGGAAGAAATCTTACTGTTGTGCAAGAGTGAATAAACTCTACTGTTCTTTTTTAGTGCAGGGAAAGACATTAAATGCAATATCGAAGAGCTCTACTAGCCGCTAGTTACAATTATACAATTATTAATAATTAATACAATTATGTAGTCAAATCCATGCAATTTATTGTGCAGATCTCAATGCATGCTTCTACTTTTAATCAGTTTAAACATTCGTGAATCAGATCGGATTGGATGTGAAAACTGTGAATAAAATATATTATTGTTTAAAGCATTGAAACAGTGGGAACAGTCATCCACTGCATCCACTGCATCCATTAACCTAAATTAGATTACTGACGCCTGAGCGTGTGTCTGGACCTGTATGTGTGCGTGCTTGTCTAAGCACAATGTGCTATGCGTGTCTGTACGTATACCGTATGTATGGATGAACATCAACTTTTGTATTTTAAACATGCTGTCCTGAGACTACAAACACAGCTGCTCAGGAGGAAACAAAAGAGGATGTGTAGCTACTTTCAATCAGAGCATACACTCTTACTGAGAGTTCAAAGGTCCAGTGTGTAGGATTAAGTGACATCTAGTGAAAATGCAGAAAAATGCAGGCACCCCTATCTAGAGCCAGTTTTTCCTTTGTCCCTTCTGGGCTACTGTAGAAACCATCATTCTCAAATCATTCTAAGGTAACCAAAACAGAACGATTCCTATATTCAGGTGATTGTACACTAGTCAAAATATAATATATTCCATTTCTGCCAATGGATCCTCCTAAATGTTACACACTGGACTTTTAATCTACCCTCAAAATATTAGAATCACCTCTCATTATAACGCAGTACAATTCAACAGAAACAAAATACATGAAGTTGAATTAACAAATATCTCAAACAAAAACTGAACTGTTGTACTGGCTGCTGTATTAGAGTGCATTAGTTTAAACCCAGTCTAATACCTAATATACCTAATAAACTGGCAACTAAATATATGTGTATTTCTTATGAAATACACATATATGAAATATAATGTTACTAAAATGGTACAAATCCATCAACTTCTAATAGAAGAGTTGCTGACCTAAAGGGAAGAAAAGATGATGATGAACAAGGATGATGTGGTAAGTTTCCGATCAAAGGTCAAACAAATCCAACTAGAGCACTTTTCATATTCATGAAAATACAGAGACCATCGCAAGCAGACAGCAAATTAAAACCCCAGCTGACAAATACCTTTGAATAAACGTCGGAATATGCATTCCTCCGGCTGTATTTGTTGTAGAGGCTCTGAAACAGACTCTGCTTTCCCATGGTGTTCAAGAACGAAACTCTGACAGCTCTGACAGCTCTGACACACAGCTTATCTCTGAACCTTGGACGCTCCTTATCAAACTCATTTAGGACCATACATTTTGAAACTAATTACCAGACGCTAAATGCTCACTCTAGCGAACCTGAGCAGATGATATATAGAGATGCGGCAACAAATCTATCACCTGTCCGTCCAACTTCCCAGTTTTTCTCTTACCTATTCCCACAGCTGAGTTCCTCTGTGCATTCAAGAAGTACAACGGAGTCAAAAACATGTGACTCACCCTGCTGCTTGTGCTGTCATCAGACGGTCCACCCATATGCTCTTGCTTCACTGCAGCATTGTTTAGATCCCATGAAGTCCCTGTGAGCAAAAAAAAAAAAAAAACAATTTCTGTCCAACCTTCTCTGACAAAACATCCTGCGCACTACAGACTTATGAGGAAGCGGAGATTCATCACCACTTCCTAACATGATTAACACCCCACAGCTCATGCTGTCATTCCTCTCTGTATGAAAATAACTTTATGCAAAGACATTACAACAGGCTCAGTGTGAGAATTATAAAATGTAAATTCGAGCTGTTCATCCCACATCCACTTGATGCAAACAGCTTCCTGCCCGGCGAAATCAAACAATGCAGCACCTTGTAGGTAGTACTGCCGCAGTTTGGGATTTCTGATGTGGGGGATGTGGTTGAGAGGCCGGCCTACAGCCGGCTGGTGCTGTCGCTGGCTGCTGGCTGCAGGATTCTGCATCACTCTGGCCTGAGGTTGAGTCTCCCAGGGCGGCTTAGCAAACTGTGGAGGCTGAGAGACACCAGGAGGGAGCTTGGAACCCAGCCTGAGAGGGAACGCAGAGAAAACTGATAAAATGCAGATTTCTTTACCCTTACGCTATATATAAACTAATATTTGATAATCAAAGCAGTTGCATATACATTTTCTGTAGATCGACTTATCATTAATGCACTGATTCAGATTGTGTTATTTTGGACACCAACACAGCCATGGAGGGAAATCAGAAAATCAATACACACATATATTTAAAAGAGATATATAATTGAGTATCACTCCTATGCAGATGATACTAGATGATGATATATCTTTTAAACATGACATTGTTTTCTATTTTGCATGACTGGCTCCTCGTCTGTTAAGTCCACACTCAGAAATGTAGGTGTCAAATTTGACCAGGTACTACGTATTGAAAAGCATGTGAATCTCTAATTCCCTCTTCACCTGGTTTACTATATGTTGGCAAGACATCCCTGGATCATTTAAATGTGGTCTGAAATGCTGCTGCAAATCTCGGGACTGACTGGAGTCCAATCTGGATTTCTTTACACAGGAGCTAAACAAATAAACTTTACTTGCTTTATGTACTTAACTGTAAGTTTATGATGTAATCAGTTGACATTTTCTAATTATAGTTCACTGACACTGAATTAGTGACTAAATCAAAGAACTTTATAGGCAGTAGGTTTTATCTTAATACAGCACACATCTACCATTTCACTGTCTATAAAGCTGCTAGTCTCTGCTACAGGTTCAAACTACAAATTACTATAGTGCTACTGTAAAATACTACCAAAAATAACTTGATTGAATGATTATTTTCTCTATTCATCCATTGTTGTTTGGTTTATAGGATAAAATAGTCAGAAAATAGTGAAAATGACCATCACAGTATCATAGAAACCCAAGCAGACATCTAAAAATGTTTTGTTTTGTCTAACAAACTATCAGAAACCCAAAGATATTTAGGTTAGTTTCACATAGGACAATGTAAAGCAGCAAAAGCACACATTTCAAAAGCTGGAAACAGTGGATTTTTGGGGCATTTCTGTTTGAAAAATGCCTTTATTACGATTTTTCTATTATTAAAATAGCAAATTCTAACAAATTATTCTCTTATAACAAAATTGTAATAACAAAATAATCTGAGTGCAAAGGTCCACGTACTAGTAGTAGCTTTCAACCACATCTTATGAAATGAGATTATTTCTGTACAAATACTTCTGCTCAAGGTCAAGAATGAATGCCAACGCTCAAATATAAATTGTATTCTGGGTGGCTTTTCCCCTTTAATTGCAGGGACTCAAGGATTCATTGTTTAGAGTATTTGAAGTGTGAGTAACTGTATAGAGCAGCATTCACAGTCTGATCGGAGTTATTTACAGGAGAGTGGGAGTTGTCTGCGATGGCCAGGGAAGTGAGTTACTGGCAACATGCTGTAGCTCTCACCCACATGATGCTGTTTTCCTGTCAGTGACAGTGGATGCAAACAGCGAACTGGGAATCATTCCTTTTTGTATTGCAGTGTGACATAATACATGCTTAGCGGTAATCTGGACCCCTTTTTTATTTAATAAATAGAATAATGAAAGACTGAATTGTAGCATGCTTAAATCTGAGAAGTAAATACCAGCCAAACTTGTCACATGTCTGCTTATAGCTTTCCTCTTTATTTTTCTTTCCAGTAATCCATGTATTTAGAGGCCTGACCTGGTCTTGACGTTGCCAAAGTAGCTGGTCTTGGTCTTGTCCCTCTGGGGCTCGTGGTCCATGGCTCCTAGAGTCTCGGGCCTCCTCACAGACTGAGCCATTTTGTGTGTTTCTTTAGAGTGACACTGGCAGTGGGAGCATTTGCAGACGGATGAGAGGCTCAGCTGGCATCCTTCCTCCTCCTTTTATTCCCCATGCCTTCCTTTTTGCCCCAGTTACAGCACCTACACGAGGCAGTAAATCAAAAGCTGACCTTACTAACATCTACGCAGAGGGAGGGGAAAGGGTTGGTAAAAGTTCTACCAGCAGCCTCATGACTCCATAAGGAAGTGAGCTAGACATTTAACAGAGTAATGGAGCAAGGTTCCCAATTCAATTAAAGTGTCAATCAATCCGTGTAATGGAAGCGTGCATGAGTGTGCTTGCAATCAATGTGTCTGCGCCTGTGGCCCAAGGTTGCTGACCAAGTGGGACAAATGAGGTACAGTTTGCACTTATGAAGAGCTTAAGATAAGAGAATATTATTACATATCATTATAATGCTTCTAAAAATCTGATGTTTCTGAAAGCTGTATTTCCTGGCTCTTAGCAGTGCACTGCTGTATTTAAACACTAGAACATGTTCGTGTCATAATACAGGAATGCATCAGGCTACATCCTAATTCTGGCAACTCATGACACATCCCTTTGGGTGGTGACAGCAATAACTGTAATAGCTTATCTCTGTCCTGCATCCTTCAAGAGCTCAGTCACCTGGTTACAAAAATGATCACAATTTGCTTCCTGTGAATGCTGGGAGTGAAATAATCACCGTGGAGGAAGTAAGCATTTTTGACGACATTACAGAATGATCGAGACTGCTGCTATGGCAGAAACAAAATATTACATCAGCAGCTCAGCAGAGATGAAGAACTCATAGGAGCAGCAGGTAAACTGAGCCGTATCTTTACTGACCTGTGTCTTGGCCAGGGATGGAGACGGGTTGCGGTCATATGAGCGCGTCTTCATATTGCAGTGTTATGATGATATCACTGCAGACAACAGTATTCAAGCTCCGCCCAGAGCTTACAGCGCCGCCGCGCCGGTTGTCAAGATAGTTCCTCTCCGGCCGGCACACAGCAGCGAAGGCGGATGTAGACGGGAGGGAAACATCTCGCGTT